CTTGAAGAACTGGATTTATGCTTAGCTTGAATTGTTACCCTGCCAGCAAACCCTGAGAGGGACTCTCAAAGCTTCAGTATAAAACAGAGGTGGAGAAAGGGTCAGAAAAAGAGCCTGTGGATTTTTAAGTTTTGAAAAGAATTATCTTATGCTCACCAAGGCTGCATTTATTTAATCAAAATAGTATTACAATTTAAAATTGCTTTTATATTTAAATGTATATTAAAATGTAATTTTTTCCTGTAATGACAAAGCTGAATTTTCTGCAGTGCCGCAGAATCTTTCAGAAATCAATCTAATATTCAGAATTTGGTACTTAAGAAATCTTTCTTATTATCAATGGTTAATATTTTTGTGGAAACGGTGATCCGTGGGACTCGAGACCGGTGAGTGGCGCAGGTGTCGTGCATTAGCATTTACTCCACCGGCCTCGCTCCGTTCCCATGGCTTTCGGCCCGACCCTAAAATAAAATTTTGTTCCGGTTCCCAGACACACTGCCGCTCGGCCCTCCACCAGCTGGGTAAGCTCTTTCGCAATGCCAGGCGGCGGCACTGGACAGCCCTCGGCGGATGGCCCGACACTCCTCCGCCGCCCGGTGGACGGCGACGGCTCCTCTGGGTTCGGGCAGCCGGCAGGAGTTCCCATTCCCTGCTCCTCCCCATCATGGCGGATGGCAGCAGGCTCCGGCCTCAAGTGAACAGCGGCGACTCCTCCGGCCCAGCCCAGGTGACCGGCAGCGAGTTCGTCCGCCCCCCTGCCTCCATGGCGGCAGACTGCTCTGCCATGCTCGATGGCACCGTGAGTCCACAGCGACGAGGGTCCCGGGTTTCGGCACCAATGTAACAACGTTCGTAGTCACGAGAAGGAGACGGGAACCGGCGAACACTTAAACAAAACTTTAATAATAAAATAAACACAAAACAGCTCGACAGCCCCTCGCGGACGACTGTCGCGCACAAACAGAACCAAAACACAAAATAAAGTCCAGGCCTGGTCCTCTCTCCTCCAACACTGTCGTCACTCCTCCTTTTATACTTTCGGAGCTCCTCCGTGGAGCTCGAGACCAGTGAGTGGTGCAGGTGTCGTGCATTAGCATTTACTCCACCGCCCCTCTCGTCACAAATACAATTTAAGATGAATTTCTTTCAGTTTCCCAGGTTGCTGACCTCTGGTCTATGTAAAGCTATGTAAATCTCTGATACTGGTTTCACTCCCCTCATAACAGATGATAGATGGATGCTGTCAAGTGATATAAATCAGAAACATTATAAATATGAAGCTGGAGAAGAGGAAGTACACAATGTTCCTTCCTGATTTTAGTGGAACAGCTGACATGAAATGGCCTGGTTTGGAAAGATGGGGGCTGTTTGGATCCGGAATTTGTTGGTGTTGCTTCATCACAGTAATGGAAGTATTCATTGTGATCTTTGGAGTTACATAAGTACAAAATCATTGTACTGTTATCGATAGATATCCCTGTCTCAAGATTTAACAATGTTCGTTATAATGTTCCTTCAAAATGTGCTAGCCTTTTTTCCCTTGTTTGGTGGTGGGTGGAGAAAAATACCCTCATTTGCACACTTTCCACAAATCCAGTGAAATCCCAATGGATCATATCCAGACCCACTCTAATTTATCTCAGCAATGAATATGTTTCCATATGAAAATGTTACAATACTTGGGTTTACATGAGTTTATGGTTTGCAAATGCTGTTTAGTGTTGTCTTTGACAGTTCAATACAAATATTTTCATTCCGCTTTTACGCCGTTGCATAAGAATAGATTTTGAGCTAAAATGGAAGTTCATTTATGGGTCTGTTCCAAAAACTGGTGAGCTGCCTACATAGGTAGTTGCGTTCTAGAACCTCGTAATTGATTTGGAACATTCTACATGCTTCCTACATAGACAGCTCACTAGGTTTTGGAACAGAGCTTTAATGTTGCCCTTGGTATAAAATTAAAGCTCTGTTGGGGCCTCCCACAGAAACATATTTTCCAGTCTGTTTTTGCCAAACTTTAATGAACCAAATAAGCACGTTGGCCCCTTAATTTCCGTCCCAGAAGATACTCACATATGTGCTATTAAGAGAGCAGAAAAACCTAATGAACCTTCAGAAGCAGTCGCGTGGTGCAATGTGAGCGGTGTTAACCCGGCTAAAAAACTGCTTAACTTCTACAGTATATGGGAGGTGAATACCCCCTCCTTTTTTGTGTTTTTCTAAAATGGGTCAGCAGATGTTATGAGTAGACGTGGAGGGAAAGAAAGAAAAAGAGGAGGTGGAAGAAAAATAGCCAAGACAAACAATTTGCTTTGCCATGTGGGCCGCATGGAGGGAGAAAAGTTCCGGCCAATAGCGATGCTCTGAATGGTTTACATTCACTTTTTGTTTTTTTTCTGAGTCAAGAGAGCAAGTTATAGTCTTACCAATAAGATTTTTAAACATAAGACAATAGTTCTTTGTTCTAGTCCTCAATTTTAACTTGTGATTGTGTTTTATTTAACTATTCTGGAGACTAGGGTTTTGTAGTGTCTTAGTTTACTTTTGGTTTGGCCTGCGTTGACTTCTGCTCTTCTAACTTCTGGAATATGTTACCAAGACTGTAAATATAATGTTCTATGGACATTCAGAACGGAGTTGTTATAATGAAGTAAAACTATAAAAAATGTAAATAAAGCTGAAATAATATATTAGATGAAACACTTTAAACTTGAACTTAGCAACCATAAAAAAGTCAAAAAAAGCATAACAAAATTACTTAAAGGGTTAGTTCACCCAAAAATGAAGATTAGCCCATAAATTACTCACCCTCAAGTCATCCTAGGTGTATATGACTTTCTTCTTTCAGATGAATCCAGTCAGAGTTATATTAAAAATTGTCTTTGATCTTTCAAGCTGTTTCATGGCACTCAGCGGGTGTTGCATGCATCAGTCCAAAAGAAGTTAAATAAAAAGCGCCCATCCATAAAAAAGTGTCTCACATGGCTCCGGGGGGTGAACAAAGGCCTTCTGTAGTGAATCAATGCGTTTTAGTAGGAAAAATATCCATGTTCAAAACGTAATAATCACTTTAATGTAGCTTGCGCCAACAGTTGTACACTGGAAGCAGTTCCGGGCTGATGAGGTATGAGGTCAGCACTGCGCATGCGCCGGTGAGTCTCGTGAAGACCAGCTTTTGTTAACCGGAGCAAAGGAAGCAAAGTTTCCTTACTTTAGCAAAGGAAAACCAGT